CTTGGATTGAGGATGACTTTGCAGTCGTTAGGCCCAAACCCCAGACAGGAAGTGCTCGCTGAAAACGCCTGAAGGTCACCCACTTGCTTGACTGATGCTAAAGCTAGCAGCAGGGCGGTCTTAAGTGACAGGGGCCACAAGTCAGAGCGCCTTGAAGGGCCCTGAGGACCGTGAACAGATCCCAGGTCGGAACGGTATGAGGGTGAGGCAGGTTCAGTCTCCTGGCTCGTTTCTGCCTTCAGACTGGCCGGCCACGAGAGTGTGATTCGCCATGATGGCCACCACATATACTTTAAGCATGGAAGGGTACACCTCTTATCCAGCAGCTCCTGTAAAAAGGACAGAATGGACAATACATTACAAGAGGACGGGTCTTCATCCTGGATTCAGAGAATACAGACTACTTGAGGGCACAGAGGCGTCTTGTAGACGGGGCTCTAGCCTCTGATATAGTGTTGGCTACCCTCACTGGGAGCTGCAAAGGCTCCCGTTGAGGGGCCACAGATGGAGGCTCTATAACTCGGATTGGGGGTGCCAAAGTGATCCTCTCGCCTGGGGGAGGCGCCTCACCATCTTGTATAGGGGCCACAACCTGAGACCGCCTTGGCAGTTTATGAAGGCCACCACTGTAATGTTGTCCGATTGGACAAGGAAATGGTGCCCCCGTAGGACTGGAAGGAAGGTTTTTAGGGCCAGAAAAAACACCATAATTTCCAGGCAGTTGATATGAAGGCACTGCTCAAGGCTGGGCTTGGACCCGGACGCCTAACCTCGGGCAGCAAGGGGCCTGGACACTTGTGCTGTAGCGAACACGAGAATTACTCTGTCCACTATAACAGCGCTGGATTTCGTGGGTGCACACACATCTGGTGAACCCAGCACTTCCAATAACACAATGCTCCAACACCAGGTCTGGACCAGGGGTTGGGAGGCATATATGAATCATTCTACAGAAGTGGTGCAACAGCCCATCGTATTAGGGGAATGTGAAAACTGCTGTTTTTCAGCAGCACATTATGTGTCCGCAACTGGAAATGCATTTTACTACCTCAACACATTCCATCCCACCATTTACATTCAGCGAAAGGGCAGCTGAGAATCTGAGAATATCTGAGAATCTCATGCACACACTTTCCAATTCTGTAAACTGAAGCCTGTTTCGGATTGGCCAGCAAAGAGTTACAGACAGAGAAACGTGCTTGTGAAATTCATGAAAACTCTGGCTTGAAGACAAAAAAGCTGTACCAGATTGGGGTCATAGGAACATCATCTCCATCATCTTAAAACAGGTTAAAAAGGACATTAAACAGGTCAGTGTGTGTAATGACAATGGGAGGGGTGGGTCACTAAGGCTTTAATGTACAGATGAACCCGGTAGGAAGGGAGGAACAAAGCATTCCTCCTCTCCTCTCAAACATCTGATGGAAAGTGAACTCCTGATGAAGTGGGTGCTTCCCTGAAAATCAGACCCTGTGTCCTGTGGCACCAGCATATCACATCCAGACACTTCCTTTGAGCAGCTGGATCTCAAATTACCTTTAGGCTCTTCAAAATACCAGAGGAGGACATCAAAACAAATGTTGCTCCATCTTGAGCTTTGAACATCATTACAATGCTTTTCTTAAGCTGACGCCGACCAAATCATGCCTTAACCACACCTGAGAAGTGTCCTGCATTTGTGATTTTCTGTAGATGCTGCATTCCAAATTTGACTTCTGAGACAAAGTGGATTTAGAAAATGAGCCAATTTTGGAAGCGGGAAAGTGGGTGTGTTTCTTGGTACCATCACACAGGTATGTGAATGTCATGTTGTTGTCCCAAGGTTTTTTTTTTTTTTTTTTTTTTAAATGTTCTTTCCAGATTGTTGATGATCAATAAGCTCGACACAGTAAGTTGTGCTGGACCAAACAAATTTTACATCCCATCCATCAGATATGAGAGAGAAAGTTTGGTACTAAGTTGATGATATAAAACCCATTATCCCAGAGCTACAAACCTGCCACATCCTCAGCTTGACATTTCTGTGTGTCGCCTGAGATCTGGGCAATGTACAATAAACAAACATAGCAGGAGGCATTGGGGTGGTGAGGACTAGACTGTGATGGTTGCAGTGGCCATGTGCACCCTACGGAGGGCCATCTAATCCCCTGGACCGCAGTTACTGTAACTGATTTTCTATACAAGATACAACCAGTCAACATTAATCAGAAAATAGTACCTATATACACTACCAGTCAAAAAAAATAAAAATAAAATAAAATTATACTGACTCCAAGCTTTTGAATGGAATAGTGTATAATGTTACAAAAGCTTTTTATTTCACATAAATGCTGATCTTTGGATCTTTCTATTAATCAAAGAATCCTGAAAAAATGTACTCAACTGTTTTAAACATTTATACTAATAATAATAAAAAATGTTTCTTGAGCAGCAAATCAGCATATTATACTGATTTCTGAAGATCATGTGACACTGAAGACTGGAGTAATGATGCTGAAAATACAGCTGCGCATCACAGAAATAAATTACAGTTTACAATATATTCAAATAGAAAGCAGTTATTTTAAATAGTAAAAATATTTCACAATATTACTGGTTTTGCTGTATTTTGGATCAAATATGCAGGCTATATATATATATTTATATATATATTTTTTTTTTCATGGTATTTGTCACTTCAGACACCCAGATATTCATCATTGTGGAGAAAACAGTGGCTATATTTATGTAAATAATGATAAATGATTTGCAGTCCTGGAAAAATAACATAACAGTTTTTCAATACACAAAGTAAAATAACTGAATTTGTCAGCCAGTGATCTGCATGTCAGTCTAAAGACAGATCTAATGCGTCACCCTAACTAAACATATCCTCAACAACCAATATGGACTCCTCTATGGACAACCTAACTACAATAGTTGGCGTCTGTTTAGTTTGACCAAAGGATCATGAGAATAAACGGTCATAACAGAGAGTGTAAGACTCTGAGTGAGTGAGTTAACTTTCCTGATGAAAGATTTATAACTTGCTAGTGATGTTCCTGGTGGGTGATGGGAATTTTGCCAAGCAGGACGCTATTCCTAATCATTCGATGCCCCTAAAATCAGAGGGAAATGATGGTTTGAGACCAAGAAACCAATGAACAGAATTCTAATATGTGATTGGATGATAGGAATGTTGTTCCACAACCAAATAGGATGGGGATTCAGGCACATTACCTACTTAGCAAAAGCATTGTGCCATGTGATCTTTGTAAGAAGTGGCATTAAAAGACAGCAGATTTTTAATTGTAGCGTGAGCCCACCTGGAGCTGTAACATGTCTGCGAGGAAACTACACCCACCACAGGAAGACTGGAACCTAACCTTCTGCCTGTGCTGCTCATGTCTCTGACCGAGAGTATGCGAAAACACAACTGTTTAGATGTGACCCAAAGTACCTAAGCCATACAGTAGAGGGAAGTTCAAGATAAGAAACTACACCTCACCAAGATGTGGAGTCTGAATCTGAGCACATCTACAAGGCCAACATTAGGTTTGTTAGGTCAGTAAATGCAGTGCATAATGTTTAATGTTCATCATGTGTCCTGAAGTGGCCAATCAAATAGATCTAACACAACATACTTGCTGGTTACATAATTCTATTGTTCTGAGACTCTTCTTCTGAAAACATCTCATGTCATCAAACTCTCACTCATAGCCATGTACGGCATGCTCAGATAGGAAACCCTTCCTGCACACAACCAGTGATTTCCTGCAGCTACCAGACCTTGACAGCAAGTCTCATCTCTGATGGTCACAATCACAAATTCAACAGACACTGAATTTGCCATTATGTGAATTAATTACTATGTTATCTTACACCATGAAATGTTTGAATATGGTGTTATTTGCAACAGTATACACACAATGCAATACACATCATTGGTAATATATATATATATATAATTGCTATGAACTTTACCACAAACTTACTCTGTATATCATCATATACTTTTATTTTATAACCTACAAAAAGTATATCTAGAATGTAGGGTATTATAAAGTGCATTATTGTTTTACTTGATATATTGTAAATATTTTCTCAAATCAACTGAAATGCTAAGAATGGAGCCTGCAGAAATCATTTCTGAAAGACACAGCATCCGGTGTCAGGAAAGCACTGCTGTCTGAACGCCCGTCCCTTCCTTTATTAATCAGACACCAAAACCCTGAGGAACAATCAAAGGTGTTCAAGAGTATTCAGAGTTTCTACTGAGTTTTCTGTGTATGTATATATACACACATAATTTAAAATCCCCCCCCAAATTAACACGCAACACTGTATTTCTGTACAAAATAATTTAATAGAAACATTGTTCAATTATAAATTGAAAGAAAAAACAAACAGGTGTCAGTATCAATCCTGCAGAATACGTTAATCAACATGCGTGTGTGTGTGTGTGTGTGTGCATACTCACACACACACACACACACACACAAAAACATACACACATGGATTTTGTTTTAATTTGTGAAGAAACAATATTACATGAACAGTTTAATTGATGTCTTTTGGTGCAGTCCACGACTACAGACATATTGAGTGTCGGCGAGATTTGGCAGTCTGTGGAGAAGTTTCCATCAATACTCTGACACCGGTGAGCCAAACAGAATACTTCCAATAACAGCCATTTCAATCCATGGTTGGAGGGGGGAGTAGAAAAAAAGAAAAAGAAAGAAAAAAGAAGAAAAAAGGAAAAAAAACAAAAACAAAAACCTTGGTGCTGAGCCCTTAAACTCTCAAGCTGAGTTAATGTCATTCTTCACGAGACATGGTTGAGACACCATGAGAAACAAAATAAACTGATGTATATTTAGAGGAAGGAAGCAAGCCACCTTAAAAACAGTCACAGTCCGTCAACAACTATGACGCAACGTTAAAGAAAAATAAAAATCAAATTAAAAAAGTTAGTGTACAAATGGGAACACGCAAATCAAAAACAACAGGAAGCAACAGGCATCGTCAACATATTCATACTTACGTACATGATGATAAAAGAGGCCCACATACTGGATTATGGGTAGCTCATTGTGTCCTCACTGGATTTCTGCTCGTAATACTGACTCGGGTCTAAGCTAAGACGCGTGCGTGTCTGCGTGTCTGTGGAGGTTTAATGGAAGCATGTACTCTTGTTCTGGGAATGTGCTGCTCGTGTCACTCGGCTTGGCTCGGCTCTAACCCTAGCGGCTCATTTAGACTCACTCCCACCTCTTGGCACTTGTCAATTATTTTTTTCAGTGTGTCAGTTTTACCTCCTTCAGCAGCCTCGAAGAGCAAACACTAGAAAGGGAAAGAGAAAAGGACTGGTGAGGAAAAACAGCGTCCAAAGCGAAAGACACTGGAGTGAATATTTGAGGTAAAGAGGCTGTTTACATCTTTCCAGAGAGCAGCAGACAGAGGCAGTTTCTGGAGCGCCTGCTGATACAGCCGCTGGACCTGCAAATGTGCGGATAAAAGCACAAACACACCAGAGCGGGAACACACAGTCAGTTCAGTCGGACACACGCAAATCTTCACAGCCGCAAACATTCAGACTCCTCCTCAAACACACAAAAGCACACTCATTGGTCTTCATCAGAGGTATGCCATCTAAACTCTTACATATTCGTGCACTGAGCATACCCTGCAGAAAAAAACAACAGATTCGACAGAATGAAAGCAGAAAAACTTGAGACATCGGCCACTGTGAAAGTCATGACCTGACCTCTGACCTCTCACTCACCTCTGCTCTTTGCCTTTGCTCCTTCTCAACAGCAATAGCTCTGGCAAGAAATATATCGACAGAGGGTGTCAAACACTTCACCTCATTTCTGCTTCCAAATCAATGGACATCACATTCACCATCCACTACAAAACTGAAGATGCGTGTCAAAAGAACGGCATGCAAATGTATTTGAACCCCCAGGGTAAGTTCAACAGGAAGAACTGCACGCCTTTGCGTCTTGCACTTTTGCACATCTGGACAGTAAAATCTTTCATGTTCTGGATAAGACCGAATTTTAGATGCAGAATGCCTTATCTTCATCAAAACAAGCTACGCAAAAGAAGTGGAGAGCTACACCATAAGAGCTTTAGAATATCATCTCATTCGGACACACAGAAACAGATTAGCTTGATATATTTGGAGCTCATGAACTTACATTTTCCAGATGGCCAGACAGGTTGGGACGCTACAGCACAACATTCTGCTTTGCAATTTAAAATGTTCAACATTGCCATCCTGCCATTCTTGCTGCAGCAACCTACACAACGACAAATGAGACTAAACTCGAGGACATTAAAGTGTCTTTAGAAGCTGTGACTGTATCCAGTGCCACCTACTAAAGAAGTTAAAGAATCACATATTTCCCCATTATAGAGACGACAGACTTTTACAGCTTCAGTGAGCCAGGAAACGATTACAATTATGCACGAGAAATATTTACACTGTATTGAGTAACAAAAAGACAAACTGTGGCAAATCGCAGGGAAAGATTCAGAAATATAATTGGAAATACTGGCGCTCTTCATGAGCTTAATTTAGCATCAGAATAAATCCAAGCAAGTCTCCTGTTTACCTTATGGCCAGTTCAGTATTGGTTGGCATGATATGCTGAAGTCTTTCCAGGATAAGGGAATGTTGGGATTGAGGGAAACAACCCAAATAGAAGGATATGACCTGCAATGCACACAGCACAAAATGCAAACACACTACATCTACACTGTCCGTAAGCTTTACAGGCAATCATCAGGGTGCAAGCTGAAAGTATGAGCTGAAAAAGATGAAGGACTGCTTTAAGGCTTCATCATGACATACCTTGTTATGGAAGCTGAAGCAGCTCCAGTATTGTGAGGAGCTGAAGGGCAGGGTGAGTCTGCTCGGCACAGTCTCCAGACAGCGGTGCACCAGACCTGTAAACATTTTCAGCTCGCGAACACTCGGCTGCGGCGCCAACATCTTACTGCTGGCGAAGGACAGATAGCTGGGGAAAAGAGACTAACCGTTAAGAGAGAAAACACCACGACTATCTGCACCCAGCGAGGATGACACACAGATTAACATGATATCTACTCGATGATTTAATGCTGTGGTAATAAACACATAATAACTGATAATAAGTTAGGTTTCACAACTGTACACTTTACTTACTCTAGCCAGAGGGTGTGAATTAACTCCAGCTTTGTAATCGTTCCCAAAGCTTTCTCAAACGCATCAATGGCCTCTCTCACAACGCCATAGGTAGACTGCCAGAAACTGTGTTAAAGTCAAGAATGAGGGTTAGAGCAGGATGGGAGTGGAGAGCAGAGCAGACAGACAGGCAGAGACAGACAGACAGACAGGCAGGCAGACAGACATACAGAAAGACAGACAGACAGACAGGCAGAGAGACAGGCAGGCAGACAGACAGACAGGCAGGCAGGCAGACAGACATACAGAAAGACAGACAGACAGACAGGCAGAGAGACAGGCAGACAGGCAGACAGACAGGCAGAGAGACAGACAGAGACAGAGAGGCAGAGACAGACAGACAGGCAGAAAGACAGGCAGGCAGAGAGACAGACAGGCAGACAGACAGACAGGCAGGGAGACAGACAGGCAGACAGGCAGGGAGACAGACAGACAGACAGGCAGGCAGAAAGACAGGCAGGCAGAGAGACAGACAGGCAGACAGACAGACAGGCAGGGAGACAGACAGGCAGACAGGCAGGGAGACAGACAGACAGACAGGCAGGCAGAAAGACAGGCAGGCAGAGAGACAGACAGGCAGACAGACAGACAGGCAGGGAGACAGACAGGCAGACAGGCAGGGAGACAGACAGACAGACAGGCAGGCAGAAAGACAGGCAGGCAGAGAGACAGACAGGCAGACAGACAGACAGGCAGGGAGACAGACAGGCAGACAGGCAGGGAGACAGACAGACAGACAGGCAGGCAGAAAGACAGGCAGGCAGAGAGACAGACAGGCAGACAGACAGACAGGCAGGGAGACAGACAGGCAGACAGGCAGGGAGACAGACAGACAGACAGGCAGGCAGAAAGACAGGCAGGCAGAGAGACAGACAGGCAGACAGACAGACAGGCAGGGAGACAGACAGGCAGACAGGCAGGGAGACAGACAGACAGACAGGCAGGCAGAAAGACAGGCAGGCAGAGAGACAGACAGGCAGACAGACAGACAGGCAGGGAGACAGACAGGCAGACAGGCAGGGAGACAGACAGACAGACAGGCAGGCAGGCAGACAGACATACAGAAAGACAGAGAGACAGACAGACAGACAGGCAGACAGAGAGACAGATAGAGAGACAGGCAGAGAGACAGACGAACAGACAGACAGATGAACAGACAGACGCACCAGTGCAGGAGATGCAGGTACGGCAGCTGAGCTCTGATCTCGTCCTGAAGATCATCTTTGAGAACTGGAACTCTCAGCAAGTCTTGTGTAGGAACACCAAGAATATGGCTGAAATCATAAACATCAGATCTTACAACACTAATACTGCTAAATATACTTGGTGCACATGCCATAACACAAGAACAGAATGATCAGTCATGGAAAAACAATAAATCCTATGTACAGAACTGGATTTTCCACAATTTTCTAAACTATTTTAGAGCCTGAGAAAAACCAGAAGAATTTGATTTAACTGATTTCTTTCCCAAATTGCACTGACTGCTATATATGTGACTGCAATGTTTCAGGAGTTTCGGACACATGCTTATACGATAACCGTTTTATTTCCTATTTGGGTTTATGTATATGCTTTATTTCTTAAGATTAACCTTTTTTTCCCTAGACATTGTTAGATGCCAGTGTTTCCAGTCATAGCTATGCAAAGATTCGATTTCAAAAATAGTATCATTGCTATTTCTTATTATGATTTTAAATCGGTATTTAACCTCAGAAAGATCTCGGAGTAAAAAGAGGTGGTAAAGTCTGGTTTTGTGGTGGCTGTGCTTTAAAATGAAATTATTATAATCCTAATTCAAGTGATGATGGATTTTGAAAGTCTGACAGTAATCAGAGGTGAGTACTACTGTTTGCCAAATAATTAACAGTTGAAAACATTCGTTAGAAAAGTAAAAAAGTAAAGTAGAATTTAGAAAAGTAATCAAATGTAATCAGTTACATTACTTTAATAAAGTAACTGATATAGTTACACTGCTACATTTCCAAAATAACCTTCCCAACACTGCAGGCATCTTCTGTTTATGCGATCACTACTGTGGTGTCAGTGAGGACGTTACCGTAACACATCCAGCGACTTCAGCTGATCTTGCACAGATTCACAGAAAGAGTGCATGAACTTGTCAAAGAGCTCTTCCATAACACTGACGCTCCCCTGCGCAACAGAAATAAACTCACAGAAATGAGCATCATGCCATCTTCACTAAGGTTTGAATTTTGAGATGATGCTGTAGTCTCACCTGAGCGAGCAAACACTTGCAGAGCTGGTGGAAAACGCGAGCGCTGCTAGCACTGAGAGAATGAGCACGTCTCCACAGCTCTTCAGCTTTCTCTGTGTGTCCCGAGGACAGGTGCAGCTCACCGGTGACCTCCAGCAGAGGGCAGTAGAGCGGACACACCGCCAGCAGACGCTCACACAGCGCAAGAGCTTCTTGACATCTGAAACAATGCCACTCACGTCAGTAAATGCACAGCACTTCAGAAAGGCTCATCATGGGGAGATGGGAGTCCCTGTACCTGTCTAGTGTCCTGTACAGATGAATGAGGTTTGAGTGCAGAGGGAAACAGGCCTGAATCTGCTCACTGGAACACAAACGCTCATCCGTGCAGCCACACACAGCATCTAGAGGAAACAGACAGATCATGCTAGAGCTTTGCGTAAGGTGCTGTAACACTGATGTCACACTCGTACACTGAATAATCTCATCTTTTGCTTTGAGCCCAAATTCTAAATGGGTTGCACTGGATTATAGGAAAATGACCACATGGTATTTAATAGCGAAGACGGTTTAGTTGGACGTTTCTGTATTGTGTATTGGTGATTGGAGGCGCTTCACCTCTGAACAGGCTGACGATGATGTCAGTGGGTGTACGGAGATCTTGGGCCATTCTCCAGGGAATGAGGAAGGGATCTGTGCACGTGATTCTGGAGGGGTTGGAGCTGGCAGGGTCGTACAGACACGCCGGCAGATGTCTGAATTCAGTCAGGTGGATATAAGACAGCCACATCAGACAACGGTCGGCCACAGTCAGATGATCCGCTACGCTCGATTCAGAGCCCGAATGCAGCGCACTCTACAGGAACACCAACATATACTTACAACAACACTGAAACAAGGCAAATAATGCAATTAACTCGACACTATTGGAAAAGACTAAAGAACTGCATGAAATGTCTAGACCAGTGATGGGCAAACTTGGCTCTTCCAGGCCACTTTCCTGCAGAGATTTGGTCCAACCCTGATAAAACTCACCTGCCTGTAGCTTTCTAGTAGTCTTGAAGACCATGATTAGCTGGTTCAGGTGTGTCTGATTAGAGTTGGAGCTAAACTCTGCAGGAAAGTGACCTGGAAGGCCCAAGTTTGCCCACCCCTGGTTAGGGTTGGGTATCGATTGGGTTTTTTACGATACTGGTGCCAAATCGATACTTTTAAAACAGTACCGTGCCTGAACCGATACTTTAAAAAAAGAGCCACAAAAAAATAAAAACGATGGATAACATATATACATTGCATTCACATGCATCCCTCGTGACCTTTTGTAAACTGTATTTATGACAAAGAACTGCACAGATACAGATAAACACACACCTCGTGTCCTCTGTTTCTGTTCGAGTCGGCTCGCGCTGCGCCGCCGCGGTCTGCAGATTGAAGAGCGCGCTGAAAGACGGGGACGAGACGAAGTCTGCCGCCGTTTTCATATGAAATTTAAAGGGGACTGACTCTGAGGTGATCACGAATTTGTGTACATGTTATGGAGCTGATCGCTATAGCCCCGCTATAAATGGCCTAGCGACGCCCATGCTTCTTACGTCCATTTCAGAGAACCAGGACAAATATCTCAATCGATCGCTCAGGCATTTAAGTGGCACCGGGTTTCGGTACCCAACCCTACCCCCGGTCTAGACTCTAGCGGATATCTATAATCAGATCAGTGTAATTTTAGTAACATTTATATACTTTTATATTATTTATTAATATTTTGAATTGCTTTTATTTTTATATTTTTAGTTTATTTTCTTTTGTTCATTTTTAATACTTTTCTTTTTTTAATACGTCTATATGGGTTTCATTTTTTAATTGTTTTAGTTTCAATAATTTTAGTACTTTAAAAGAAAAACTAAATGAAAATGAGAAATGTTGCCTTGGCAACTAACTGAAATGTGTGTTCATTAGGTTTTCAGCTTTCAGTAAGTTTGATAAAGTTTTTTGCTGTTGATTTACTCATCCTCAGGTCATAATGAACCCTATTCGCAAGGGATTAGTATTATCTGGGGACCTTGTGGGATTTAGAAATTACCCCCCGCATCTGAGTTTCGTGTGGCGCATTCGCACGGGATAAGCGAAGCCTGTGATTTTACTCGAACTTACGGACTTATCTCCCGGATCTGAATGTTCCATGCTGCTATACATGTCATACATCTAATCGTTCTTTTTGTTTTCGCTCTTCTGATGGTTTTCAGCTTTCTCTTTCTGCAAATTGTGTTCGGTATCGGTGTATAGTGACAGGGGCGGTTCTAGACCCTTTTTAAGTGGGCTTCAGCCCCCCTAAAACTATCTGAACGATTGGGCCAGTGCTGCTTCCTCAAAGTTGATCATTCCCATGTGTTTTAAGGCTTGTCAGTTTAAACGTTTAAGTGATTTTAAGCTATTCAAGCACAAGTCAGAGATCGTCTCGGTGCGCGCACACAAGGAAGCCGTCTCTCAGACAGCAAGCAAATACCAAATTGAGTTCTTTTTCAGGTCTTGAGAAAATCGGCGCAACATTATCTCTGAATGGCTGTCTTGATGAGTATCGACGTAAAGACAGATGGTTACGTCTTAAGTGAACATAAATAGTTAAGAAAATATCGGATGTGCATTAACGGACCCATACATTTCTTAGGCTATGTTAATCAAACAATAAAAGAAAAAGAGAGAATCACTCGCTGCGCTTAACTAAGTAACTGTAGCTTTAATGGATATTTGTGTATATTTACTTAATACAATTTAGGTAATTTGTTATATCTAATGGTCTGTCTGAGGGCTCAGCCCGCCTGTGGATGAAGTCCTAGAACCGCCCCTGTATAGCGATATGACCCAGCACCCAAAATACTATCAAACACTCCAACGCAGCCTCCATTCTTCACGAAAGATGGATAAAAAGGCGCACAGAAAACAAAAACCTCGAAAAATTATATACGACCTGGCAAATGCTGGCCGAATCACAGAGATGCCGATTCGCACGGGACTAATATTATCACAGGACCTCGGTCCTCAGCGAAATATGGTAGGTAATTTGCGGGGGAATTTTTACTTTACAAATTACAGACATGGTCGTTTCGCACGGGATTAAGATCACAGACAACCTCCGCAATTATTACAAATGACTGGAGGTCACCAGGTAATTCTAATCCTGTGCGAATAGGGCTCAAGATGTAGGTGACTTTTTTCCTTCAGTAAAACTGTAAAGAATATTTTTAGATGAAACCGTGGTTCTTTTTTTCATAAAATACAAATCAGCAGCTGCCCGTTGTTGAGAATGAGGCTCTGGATTACAAGTAATCACGTTGTAAATAATGTTCAGTCTCTTTCAAAGACTGATTGTTTCACTTTTTTTTTCAATGAATCACCAGTGACCATGGTTTCAGCTAAAAATCTTCTTTTCTGTTCTAATGAAGAAATAAAGTCACCTACATTAACAGCAAATTTTCATTTGTGGGTGAACTATCCCTTTAATTTGATTTAAATGAGATTTTATTTTTAAATCTAATTTTTGTATTTTATATTTTTCAATTTTCTTTTTTAGTTTTTCCTTTTATTTTTAGTAGTTATAAAGAAAACTGGATTAGACATAAATCAGAACATCTGTAAATGAGCATTTTTTGTAATGAGTAAAAATCACATTTCACAAAAGATAAAGTGAAAACAGCATATTTTTAAAGTACTAAAAACTATAAAACAGTGGACAATCCAAAACAAAAAGTCCAGTTTTGACTGAAACGGTGTTCATCTGCCAGTGGTATATGTTTATGTAGATTAGACTGGTACCTTGAGTATGCTGAGAGCGCTGTGCTGACGGCCTGTGAACACACTGAGCTGAACTCTGAACAGCACTGACTCCAGCAGCTGGAACGACTGCACATCCGACCTGACGTCATGTGACGCCTCCAGCAGGTGTGAAACCAGACGCCCACACAGGTAATCCTTCCCCTCGAAACCGCTCTCAACGCTCATGTACTGAAAGACAGACACAGACCACAGCTCTTCAGCTGCTCAGACGCGTGGCGCTTAAACATGCCACTGTCTTTCCACTCACAGTCCACCAGACGTCATAGTGCGGCGCGTGCTCCACGGCCATCTCACACATCTCCTGAACCTCTTCTCTGCTGCCGCGCCGCGAGAACAGCGTCAGATAGTGACACCACACCTCAGTGTCCTCGCGGTTGTCCTCCAGCGCACGGGACAGCGTGTTCAGCGCCGCGTCCAGACACTCTGCCACAGAGCTGCACACACAGAAGAGAGCGATGCTGCTGCTTACTGAAGCCAAATACAGTGCTAAGTGCTGTCTTTCTCTGTTGCTGAAAGGTTCATTAATTTGTTTGTCTTTTCACGTCTAGACTATTGTAACGCCCTTCTTATTGGAGTCTCAAAATCTTGTATTAACAAACTTCAACATTTACAAAATTCAGCAGCCAGAACTCTTTCAGGGGCCAGGGCTGTTGATCATATAACTCCGGTTTTGGAATTGTTGCATTGGCTCCCGGTTAGATTCCGTATTTAAAGTTCTCATGTTAACAGACAAGGCACTGCGTGGTCTGGCTCCTCAGTACTTGACTGAGTTTTAATTCCCTATACACCTAGTGGTAATTTGCGATCTTCTCAGAGTGGTGTTTTAGTCGTTCCTAAAACACGGCTGCATTCTGGGGGTGATCGGGCAGTTTCATATTTTGCCCCCAAATTGTGGAATTCTCTCCCGGCTGACATCAGGGAAGCACATTGTTTTTTTTGTTTTTTTTTAATCTCGTCTTAAAACTTTTTATTTTCGTCTTGCTTTTAACTGATTGTTATTCTGTATTTTTGTGTATTACTTTGGATTGTTGTGTTTGCTTGTGTTGCAAAGCGCTTTGAGAAAGCACTCTTTTAAAGGCGCTATACTAAATAAAATGTATTATTATTATTATTATTACTACACTCACACACACACCTGCTGCATTTAACAGAACTGCCACGGAAACAAAGAAACAATGACAGAAATATATCTGTGGCCTCACTTTTGCACAATAAGAATATGAACTAAATGCATTTAATCGTTGTCATTTTCAGGCAGGTCAGAACTAGAACTACAGCGAAATAAAAGAGAAGTCGCGATGAGGCTTTGAGTGATTATCAAATCACAGAAGCTGTATTTAATGAAGTAAATCTGTGCGCTCCAGAGTGAAGCACGGCACTGGTTTTCACATGCGTGCAGCTCATGATCTGCTGTGTGATCTGTATCTGGATGCACATTGAAAAGACGAGTGGGAATGTTATCCGATCGGTGTGTCCTGGTCCAGAGGTAGTCGAGGATGCATTGCGATCGGATCTCAGTGTACTGCAAGCGCAATCTAGCCAGGTCATCGTCATATAAATCCCCGTCCACTCCTCTCTGATGACCGTCAGGAATTAATGCACGGATGCAGCTTTGACAAGAAATCAAACTTATGTGAGCTTGACAATAAACCTCAATATTTCCGACTGTTTATTTAGACGACTTGCATGATAGCATTATGTGAACGAGGCGACTGTCAGCGCTGCCGGTGTAAATCACAGTCACGAGATCTACACGACGAGCTGCACGCCGCTCAATTTATAGTCAGAGGAATAATCTGAATACACTTTAATGTTTATACTGTTTCAGCATGTTCATTATAAATAATCGCCCATCTTCTCGTAATATGACAACATTTTTCTTCATTTTATTATACAGATTAACGTTGAGAAATTAAACTTTGTAGGTTTAGATTAAGTAGCCTATTTGTACATGAATAAATCTCAACAATCCTGTGCTGTATGGCCACTGCCACAGGCTGAAGAGAAGGTTGTTTTATGCTACTAGACTATTTGCAGCTTCCACCTTGAACGTGTGTAAGATAAAGGCCTACTACAGACTAGGGGTCATTTTCACATTTTCGAATCATATGTTTTGGGGCGGGGCAAAACACATTACCAAGAGTCAAGTCAGACATTTCACAGTCATAATTACGTTAACACACAGGGAAACGTGTAACGGACACCTCGCAGATACAAAAATAATGTTTTGATTAAAAGGTAGTTAACATTAAACACCAGTGAAACCCTAAGAATTCACAACATTTTTTACAATAGTGCTCTCATTATAACGTTATGTATATGACAGTAGTTATTAATGTTTTGAGCTGCACGCTCTGAAGATGACTATTAGAATGAAGCAGCAGGTTTTTAATCAATGGGATTTAACTCATCATTTATCTCATAAAGAATACGCTTCGTTATTTATACAACATAACGTTAATATTACGACTTATAGGCTATCTGCGCGGCTCTGAATGAACTCCTTAAACTCCTCCTGAAGAAACGGCAACTAAACTCTAAAAATTCACAGCGTTTTATTATAATAGTGTTCTCATTATAATTATGTATATGACAGTCCCAGTCATAGTTATTAATATTCTGCATTGTTGTTTGACCTGCTCGCGCTGCGCTGAGATAATCACCGTAGTACTACAATGCAGCGCTTTACTGCAGCGCAACTCAACCAAATGCATCTTATACGAGATATATATAAACCGGCTGAAATGTTTTGAAATCCCTTGTACCCTACCGAGAAAACCAGTAGTTCTATGTGAAATCAGACATTGAGCACCCCCATGATCATAACACCCCGCGAATATTCGACTGTGAGACTGGTATCGAATCAGGCTCCTCCTATCGAAGCATCGAACCATCAACGATTCGGGGTCACCCCTACTCCAGACCTGACTTAAATATTGTGCAGGAAACAGAAGTCTTATCAGTTATTCAGATACAGAAGCCACTTGCACACCGTGCCCAGACTGGCTCGACTGGATCACAAAGAGCGCATGTTACTGCCAAGCGTAAATGCAGCCAGTGTCTCAGAGTGGATCACTTCGTCAGGAAATGCAGAGCCTGAGTTTGGGTGGAGCAGGAAGCGCGGTGAGCTGCTTATAATGTGCATTTGAAAACATAGCATGGCCATCAGCGCCAACCACTTCACCAGATATCTGAAGCATTTAAAACCGGCTGCCAGCAGAGAAGCAGCTTTAGGGCTCCTGCGGTTTACAAACCCAAAGAAAAGCTCAACCGTTTAACATCATTACATTCCAACCAAAATATTAGTATTGTAATTTTACAGATGCACTATAAACTTATTTTTAAGAGTTTTGTTTTACAGTTCAATAGTATTATTACAATACATTTCTTATTTTGTTTCATATTTGTATGAAATAATAATGATTTTTGTGATTTTGTTATTACTGTTTTATAAAATTACTTAATTTTTTTATAACACATTAATGCAGTCCATTTGGAAAGATTTTTGTCTTTATGTTCCTGAAAGAGGTTTAAGTTGGTTCTTGTAAAAAGTATTTCTGTGTGTTTTCCCCAAATCGAAATAAAATAAAATACTGCCACATAAACTTTATTTCCCGAAATCGTGCAGCCCTACTGAGAACAACAGTGTAAACTGGAAAGTGGACAAAGCTAACCAAAAAGACAAATACTATAAAAAATAAAATAATAATGATGCATAAATCTCAGTTTCGAAACATTGACCCTTATGACTGGTTTTGTGGTCCAGGGTCACATATATAAAATTGAGTATTAATATAAGTATTATAGAGAGAGAGTATTAGTGAGTTTAAAGCATTCGTCTCATTTTTTAAAGGGATAATTCCACTGATCTGTGTGATATTGACTCACGTGTCTTTCTGGTTGAGGTATTTGAAGGCCAGTTTGATCCACAGCTGCACGTCGCTGGGACTCTCCAGCACACTGGTCTCCAGGTTACTGATGTCATCCGTCTCGCTGTCGAAGTATCTCTTATCGTCCTGCGTGACACACACGTCAGCCGATGACCAGCGCTCCTGGACGCGCCCGTCTGTCACACAGGAGAGATATTAATACTACTGATCTACAGTATAAGGGGTGCTGTGATGTCATGATACGGTGTAAGGCGACTGACTGTGACAGACGGGGACAGTCACGTCCACAGGGTTGAGGTCTTCATCTTCCTGAACGTGCGTTTTCACTTTCTGAGCTTCCGGTCTCCATTTCCTCTGGGATTTATTCGTGGTGAAGGGAGGAACTGACAGAAAGGATGGACGGTCAGCTGCGGCGCAAAACTAAACTCATCAAATACAGACGTGACACGAGCACTCACTGTGTCTCAATCTCTCGTTGACTTTGCTCACGAGCAGAACGGCCTTCTGGTCCGTCCCCATCCGGTCCTTATTGGGCCCAAACAGTTTCTTCATATATTTCTCTGTGAACAGGAGAGTCAAGGCTCATGATGTACAGTGTTTCACGGATCATGCAGAGTCGTCCTGTGACGTTGACGTTACCTGTGGCACTGCTGATGTCACCGGTGCTGCTGGTGTCCGCGCAGCCAATCAGAGGCAGGCTGTAGGACAGGACGTCCTGAAACAGCTGGCTCTCTGTGAGGCTGCAGTCCCTCATGTGCTGCCTGAAACACACAGATCGCTTCAGCCAAAGAGTAAACACACAGTAAAACCTCAAACAGCGGTGGTGTCTGTCCACACATACCATGTGCAATCGTCATCGTTACACGTGCCGGTCAGATCGAAGCGACAGAAGCGCTTCTTTGGCTCGATGGCGTTGCTGTAGGTGACGGAGCGGAGGGAAAGCTTCTCTTTGGTCCGGTAATACGGGCTGAACCTGAACATGTGCGGGATTGAACTGTGAGAACACAGCAAGCAGACGGAGAGCGCTAAAACACTATTAACACGTGTAATGCTCAAAGTATACTTCAGCTTTAACATGAGCGTTTAGCGTATGCCTTTCAAAATATCCTGCAATGGATAGTGTGCGAGAACACCGGCACTCTAGACGATTTCATTCAAAAACCATAACCTCTAGAGAGAAGCATTGTGCTAAACATATGCACTATTACATATTTACTGTATTTTTAATTAAACGGTTGGGTTTATTACTTACTGTGTTTGAATAAATCTGTCATCAAAACAAGTTATTAAAGCCACTGTTTAAGTGTTTGTATTTCAACAAGGAATTAGAGTAGAAACAAAAGATGTCATAAACTTATGTACAACTCAAATGTTTGTACAACTTGTTGATTGTTAAACAAACATCATTACGTGAAATGTATTTTGGGCTTCAGTTTTCAGCTAAATGAAATCTTCAATGTTGATTTCAGTAAACACTAAAAAAATTAAATAAATATAGATGTGACCCTGGACCACAAAACCAGTCATAAGAGTAAATTTTATGAAACTGAATAAATACGCTTTCCATTGATGTATGGTTTGTTAGGATCGGACAATATTTGGCTGAGATACAACTATTTGAAAATCTGGAATCTGAGGGTGCAAAAAAATCTAAATATTGAGAAAATCATCTTTAAAGTTGTCCAAATGAAGTTCTTAGCAATGCATATTACTAATCAAAAATTAAGTTTTGATATATTTACAGTAGGACATTTACTAAATATCTTCATGGAACATGATCTTTACTTAATATCCTAATGATTTTGGCATAAAAGAAAAATCAATAATTTTGACCCATACAATGTATTGTTGGCTATTGCTACAAATATACCCCAGCGACTTAAGACATGGTCCAGGGTCACATATATAGATAGACAGAATTTGGTGCATGACTAGTAAAAACTGAAGAATACTCCGGGCTTATACTGGGCCAGACCTGTATGATTTGAAGACTAGTAAAGGACTGTGATACGGTCCAAACGGTTCTGGTTTTGGCTCCGCTCGGCTCTGATGAGCTGCCATTGGATCAAAGTCCACCTGCACGACCTGCACGAGACACACAATGAAAGAGAAGGAAACACTTTGATGCTGATGCCACAGACAGCACTATCTTGAGGAGCGTACCTTCCCGGGAGCCCAGCTGAGCGAGCGCATCTCCTCCTGCAGGAGCTCAGGGAGCCCGGCACACAGCTGGTACCGCTGCCGCAGATCCTCCACGTTCAGCCCCAGCAGCAGCTCTGGCAGACCGGCTGCGCTGCAGGACGCTTTGGCCTGTTTGAGGGGCATGGGTGAAGCAGCGGGCGTCTCCAGATGGCACAGCTTGGGTTTGGTGAAGGAGCCGGACTCTCGGAACGACCGCCGGCGGTTACGGGGCGTCACTGAGGCGGGAGTCTGCTGCTGCTGCTCGTCCTCCTCGGCCTCCACGTCCTCGCTGGACAGTGCCAGCTTGTCCTGGGTCAGGTCATGAAGCGAGGGCTGCGGGAACGGGTAGAGTGTGCTGGGCATCTGTGGGGCGGCGGGCCGCGGCTCGGCTTGCCGTAACGCCTGGGCCTCTTTGAGCTTCTGAATCTTGAGGGCGTATTCTGACTCCAGCTGCTGCAGGCGCTTCTTCTGCGCGATGAGCTCTGCGTAATGCACATCTGAGCGATCCATGCGCCGCACCTTCACCGGCTGCGAAGAGTAACACATCAGTTCCATCGTTACAGAACGACACTCACTCACTCACTCACTCATCTGTGCAGCTCTTACGGAGTAGATGGCGGCAGATGCGTTGCGTTTGAGCACGGCAGGAGCTGCAGCGGCCTGCGCCTGAACCAGATCTCTCTCCAGCTTCACCGACTGCTGCTTCTTCACGCTCACGCGGTGCTGGACTCTTTGAACCTGCAGGCCAACACACCAGAGGTCACCGAAGAGGCCAAATCCCTCATTGAATGCAAAAAAACAAAAAACAAATCCGTCCCGCTAGCACTGTGAATTTTAGTGAAGACCCATGATTCAGCCCAGCTCACCTGCTCCTGCAGCTTCTTCAGCAACACTCTGTTGGCACTCACAATCTTCTCTGACGCCAGCAGCTGCTCCTTGAGTCGGGTCACCTTCCCCTCGGCTGCTTTCAGAGACTCTTTCTTCTTCATTTCCTGCTGCAGGAGCTGCTTCAGCAGAGCCTCGTCTTTACACAGCTGCGTTCTGCACAGGAAGCACACTCATCAGCACGAGTGCTAATCAAATATACTTTACATACATCAACCCGGTTTCATGAAGAGTTTAAGACCAAGTAAAGAAAACTTTAGGAATAAATGAAAGGGATGTCAATATTTTCTCTAAATGTAGAAGTCAAGGGAGCACAATGAGCTGTATTAGCAACACTTCAAAGTCTGAAAATACAACTCCTGATCTCAATTACTTTTTTTTTTTTGTTAACAACTGTTTATTGAACTGTTTTCTGGGAACAGTAATATAAAACAAAAAGAAACTGCAAATATGAAACCCACCCCAACCCATCCCACCCCTGGTAGACTTCGAAAAATAAAATGTAGACCTTAAAAAAAAAAACAAACTTCGATAAGTAGACCTTAAAAAAAAAAAAAAAAAAAAAATAATAATAATAGTGATAGCAAAAAAATAATAATAACTGATCTCCATTACTTTTAAATTCATTTTAGGCAGGACTAGCTAGAATCTGAAAATAACTTCTGATCACGCTGCAAAAAAAAGTGATGTACTTCCTTAATATCTTCGTCTTGTTTTCCAGTGCAAATGTCTGAGGATTCTTAAATCAAGATACATTTACTGGAGAAACAAAATGACAAGTCTTGTTTTCTGTGAAATTGCTCAAAATGAAGTGAGTCTATGATTAAAAACAACAAATATCCACCAATGTTTTTTTAAACCCGCAGGAACCCTGCCAGCTCATGTGTGGACGCTCACTTGTGCTGATTCAGCTTCTCCTGCAGATCTGCTGCTCTTCCCAGGACGTCCAGGTCAGAGTCCGAGCCCGCAGGAGAGGGGACGCCCCCCACGAACTCCAGCCGGCCCGATCTCTGCTTCTCCAGACTGCAGCACATCACAGGAGTGATTAGCAGCGCGACACGACTTCAGTCATGTGATTCATTCCTCAAATATTTCTCCACATGCCAAACACTGAATCCGGTCACTGAGACCGGCGCTGGTGAAAGTGAATACGTGAGCGAACACACCTGGCCATGTCGTCTCTGAGCAGCCGATACTCCATCTTCTTGGCATCAGGAAGTGCTTCTGCACTCTTCACTGGGTTGTTCTCCTTCTCCGACACTGAATGCTTCGGTTTGGCTGCCTGAGAGCAAAATAACACCAAAAACAGCTGAAAACGTGGCAAAAACTGATCACTCAAATGAGTTGGTTCTCTTTAGTGAATCAAGCACAGGCAGCACACAACGAACTGGAAGACTACACATTTTTTTACTTAACCTATTATTTCTGTCTTTGTTTTCAGGCATGTTAGAATAAATTGAGCTAAACAATGTGTAAAACCTGTATGCCGTCTTTAGAGTATATTCTTAAATCTTGTAGAGATCTGTAACATTATCTCTGTAGAAAACTGAGACTTTACACTTTCAAAGTGACTCAAAATGACAAAGCAAGTCAAACATTATATTTGAAAAAAAATCATTTGATACTCATGATAAGACACTCATTATGTCACGGCAATTCTTATATTACATTATTATTAAGTGTTGAATTTCCTGTCTACCTCCATATATCTACCCATTTTATCGCTCTAGGGAATTGAGTATAACGGCTGGAAGTGTTTGAAAACAGCCGAAGATAGAGGTGACTTATCCAGCAAAGCACACATCTGTCAGTCAGAGTCAGACTGATTAAACTTCACTTTGTCTCATGGGCTGATTAAAACACCTCTGATTGGCCAGTGCATTCATTCACTCAACAGATCGTCTGTCTGCGATTGAATATGATACTTGATACAAAAACCTTTTAGTTAACAGATGCAGCAAACACTTTTCACAGTTCATTTCAGCAGCTGTAAACATAAATTGGATTAAAGTACACTGATGCCCTATGATGTTTTTGACGCCCTCTGTACTAAACATGTGATTCATTCTTAAAATAAAATAGCTCTCCTGATTCAGTATTTTTAAAGCAATATTATAGAGACAGGAAGCAACGGTTTGGTCGTCAGTTTATGATTGTCACATATTAAGCACCTATCTTTTTCTGGTGATCTCAGCTGGCGTTTCATCTCCACACCATGTGACTGATGTCTGGGTTAAACGTACCTGTCTGAGAGGTGTGGATTCCAGAGGAAGGGTTGATCTAAAGTTGATCATCATCACATTAGACATCATTTCTAGCAGGGCTGTTCTGATGTCTTCAGTATGAAGAAACAATCAATCATTTATTTTGGGACTGTGCTTATTGTAAAGTGTTCTAGGTTGACTTTTCCAATTTTGTAAAAAAATATTTATATCCAAACTTCTGTATAACCCCCAAAATTGTGTTTTTTGGTTACTCTTTGAATCTAGACACTTCAAATATATTATTAATTTATTGCTATTTCTTGCCAAGTTTTATATTCATAAATGAATATTTTCAAAGAAAACACCTTCCTTTTTTGCTTTTAGGAAAGACTTTGATGTGTATGTAAACTCTTTAAGAAATTCCAATAATTCTATTGCATGTAAAACCCTTTCAGGGTTCATATAAGCTAACATACTATGCTTTGGATTAGGCTAATGTATGTAACCCTCATTGTTTTTTGTTTGTATTCTGTCTTTGTATTATTTTCTTTTTCTGCATAATAATAATAATAAAAAAGGGCTGTTCTGATACCACTTTTTTCCCCCCCCCAGAACGTGCACAATGCCAATATCTGTACTTTCAGTGCATTTGTATTTAAGTTTTGGGAATTAAAAGAATATGAATCACATTAGTTAGATTTAAAACATGTTTAGTAAATAAGTGTTTCCTATTGTACTTCTCATGCTTAATTATGTCTACTAAAGTGTACTGTATGAGCATTATCATCATATGATCTTATCATATTCTATCCAACTATTTAACTATAGACTTTTGTGTTTGGGGTCCTATTTTGTACCTTGTGGATGACTGGGGTCTCGTCACTCACTGCAGAGATGTTGAGGTCTGATTCGGACTCCTCGTCCTTTACAGCTGATAGAAAATAAAAGATGGGACAGTCGTCATTATAATAATAATAAAGGAGTGTGTTCAAGAGCCTACTCGCTTTCATGCTGGTATCGAGAGCTGTGAAAGTTCACAACATCGCTCTTGACTGCTGAAGTGTGAGATCTGAGGTACCGTCATCCTGACTGGCGTCCTTCTCCCCTCCGTCGCCGTCCGGTGTGCTTCTGCTGTTGAGAGCGTCTCGATCGCTGGGCGTCAGCAGCTTCTGTCTGAGCGGCCTGATGTTGAACGCCTGAAACACTTTCTTCTCCTCCTTCACAGCAGAGACGGGCTCCTCGGGCGGCGGGACGGGGTCAGCGGGAGGCTCGTCCTCCTCTTTCAGGGCCATCCGCTCCTCCTTCCGGATGCACTCGAGCTCCAGCTGGATCTGTTTGTACTTCAGCAGCAGATCCTCGAAGCTCTCGTCCATGGTCTCGGCTTTAGGGACGCTGGTCACCACCCTCCGCGTCTGACACCTGCTGCCCGCTTTCTCTGAGAACCAGTGGTTAAGAAGCACTCGGACTGCAGAACACTGCACACGAATCTATGCAAAGTTTTTAAACTGCTGCATTAATAGGATAGAAAATGAATATTCGGTCATCATTTACTCATCCTCATTTTGCTCCAAACCAACACGCCTTTTTTTCAGTGGAACACAAGGAAGATCATTTAATTTATTTTTTTCTATACACTGTTTCCCAACCAGTGTACTGCATTTTAAATTATAGAGGCACTGCCGGTTTGGAGAAGACAAAAAATGTAAATAAATAAATAAACAAATAATCCTAATCCGTCAGAACATTTTCCTTCATGTTCTACTTTCAGACATCAGCAGACTAAAGCAATAAGCCCCGTGAAGCCGTGGTTTACAGTGAATTTATAACAGCTAAGGGGCGTTGTTAGGTACGACGCGAAGCAGAGTTAGCTGTTATAAATTCACTGTAAACCACGGCTTCACGGGGCTTATTGCTTCTATAACACGGTTATTCCATATATGTAGTTAGGTTTAACAGAATAAAACAGAGCAAATAAAGTATAATGATATTAATAAAAACAGTATTCTTCCACCAAACAATGTAGTTCCTCAGAAACAGTTGTGGTTCCAAAAAAGTGGTTGCCGAGCAACACACAGACGTAAACAAAAGGTGTGTGTTTGTAGAGTAATTTACAACAGCTTCGAACGCGGCTCAACCAATCAGAATCAAGCACCGGAACTATCCGTTATATAATTGGTATTTTAATGTGACATAGTAATAAGAAATAATAAGAAAATCAGAGAGCTGTTTAGTCGCTGCATTTTTCCTTTACATTATTTTCTCTTTTCCTTTGTCTTCTGCCTTAACAAAAAAAAAAAATATATATATATATATACAACATCTACCACGCATTTGTGGTCTGCTCTCTCGATTTAATATGCAATAAATCCCATTAATAATTCACTGAATGCACTATGAATCTCTCGTCTTCCTCCCCAAATCCTCACGCCTCTTTCCAGGTTTGTTTTCACACGGACTCTTTAAAATGTCATTTTCTCCTCTGTTCACTTCTAATCCCTAGCAGTCGTGTTCACTGTAATGCTTCTAAAGCAGGGAAAACTGACTGAAAGAAAAAAATACACATAACTCACAACGATGAGCTCATTAACGTACACACGGCGGTTAACAGGACAGAGCATATTTACATATCAAAGTCTTCAAAGTACAGTAGCACAATCAACTGGATGATTGAAAGCATCGGGAAGAACGGTGAGGAAAAACACTAGTTTTGTGTGTGTAAGCACACCGCAGCAGTATAAGTGAACTCCAGTAAATATAAAAATAAATGATGTAAGTATAAACTATTAAAGTAAATACAGTAGTCAAATGCATTCATCTTCGTATCACGACAGCGCTTTATTGTGGTACCAGAGATATCCGACTGTAATATCTCATACCATGGTATTCTCACACGGTTTTACCGCGGTTCTGGGTTTTTACTCTAGTACTCGTGCGGGCGAGTGTGTCGCGGCTCGGGTAAGTTAAGGATACGTTTCCTGCTCGGCGAGTCGGTTCTGCAACCGTGATTCTCCGCGAATCGCTCCGTCCAGTCTCGCGTCCAGTCTGACGCTCTGTGTGCGCGATATCTGAAGCGGCCCAGCGCGCCGTGACTGCGCTCCCAGAAGCCGGACCGCGGCGCTGAGTCGAACGCCTGCCGGAGGCCGGAGGGGAAGGGCGGATGAACCGCTCTCAGCGGCACCGGGGCGCTGTTGTTGAGCATGGGTCCCGGTAAACGCGCTCTCTTGTTCATCATGGGTCGGCTGGGGCGGGCGCGTCGCGGAGGCCGCGCGTTCTGCCGCTGCCTCTGCGGCTCGTCGTCGAAGATTTCCCCGTCCTCCAGCTCGCCCTCCTCTTTAGGAGACGGACAGCCCGAATTCACCTCCATTACTGATATTTACTGATAACTGGATGCGGTTACTTACAGTTCATGCTGATAATTAGGATTCAATAGCTCGCATCGCTCAAGGAAGCGTCAAACGCTCGACTAAGCAGCTTTCAGTGGAACATCACCACTCTGAGTATCGCGAGATTTCACGCACTTCCCGTCTCAAACCCCTAGATGTGACAGGGAAGTTATTTTTGAGGTTTGTTGGCTCAAAGGACAGTACCGCCAGAGTGCACAAAACATCTGTTATGAATCAAACATTACATTAGTTCATTTTCATTCTTGCAAAATAAGAGACTTGTACAAACATATAACAGGATCAGTGTTGTTATTAACTAAAAACCTCAACTAGTTTTCGTTATATGAAATAAAATATAAATATTATATGGAAAAAAACAACAACGTAAACTTAAAAAACAAAACCAAATGTTGACTTGACAACTACGTTAAACAAAGCAAGCCTAAATTCAAGTACTACAATTATAAAAAATCAAAGCCAAATAGAAACATGAAAACTATTAATAAAATATATTTAAAAATTTTAAATAGGCCCGATAAATTAAAATGAAAATATCAAAAAACTAAATAATAAAAAATATTAATGAATACTAGAACCATATATAAATAATACTAAAATAGCTGTGTTTTAGATGAATAAAGAGATGGAAAAATCATCCAACAGTATCTGCAGTTCTCTTGGCGGTCACGAGCTGTGCTGTGGCGCTGCTCTCGCGCAGTGACGTCACATCCGCTACTCCTGTTGACACCAGAGCGCTTCCGGTCGTGTTTTCATGAAATATTTGATCATATCGTATTTGTGCCTCTGTAAGTGATATTAATCGAAGAAGACTCTAAACAAGTCCCGCGTGCGGCGAGGCGCTGATGAGTTGATTGACGTGTGTAAAATCTCAATGAAGTGGCCTATTGATCAGAGAAGACGATGAAGAGAGCGGCGCGGCACGCGCGGAGGGGCAGAGCGAGCAAACGCGCGAAGACCGACGAGCTCGCGCCGGACACCGGTGAGGAGACGGTACCGTCACGCACCCGAAGCTGTAACTTCACAGTGCGCTGCTTTTCTCTCTGACTGCTGCCTGCGGCTCTCTGTGGGGACTGCAGGAGAATGTGCTGCTGCTGCGGCTCCGGGGTTTGAGCCCCGTGCGACACAGGGACTGCTTGAGTGGAGAGTAGCTGGTTTTGGATAAATGTGTGTGAAATGTGCAGCACAGGTAGATTTATTGAACACACCTTGTCTCCTGTTCCTCTGAGCGAACAGCAAACCTTTGACTGAAGTGTCATTCTGTTTTATTCAGCATGAAGTTACACAAAGCGTCGTCTTAAATACATCTAGTCAAATGATTGGGAGAAGCAGCTTCGTCTCATAGCTCTACTGCGTAGTCTTTCATCAGAAGGCGCGTTTCCATTACCCTTCAAATTGCGAATTGAAAATACGCCTAATGGAAACGCGTCAATTTCGCAAAAACGGCCATATATCGCAAAAAAGTTTTTACGCTCGCATGAGGTGGTTTTTCAGGCAATGCGAAAAAGGAATAATTCGCAAAACTGCAATGGAAACGGCTTTTTCGCATTTACAGGTCACATGGCGTATGTAAAAAGGTCATATGATCATTCTTCAATGTACTATAACCTCCAAGAAACACTTCATAAGTGGCCGCGCTCCAGTATAAGGGGCTTTCCCTACCATTAATGCTTAGACAATTTACACTGCACACGTCTGCGGTGCAGTGTGGCTCTGATACGGTCACTGAAGCTGATTACGGCCACTCAATGCTTGTGTTTATGTTTTTATACAGTCTATGGTTTATTCCAGCCGTGCCACGCACGTTTCTGAAGCGGCTCTCTTTGCTGCTTCTGTAAAGATACACGCAAAAGCCTCCTTTGAATAAATATAGCCAAAATCCGTTGCCATGACTTATCGCGAGAGGCAAAAGGTTACGTTTAAGTCTCATAACATTGGTTAATGGAAACGCCGTCATTTCGCAATACTTTTTTATCGACATTTATAAAATATCGCCAAAGTTTTGCGCAAATCTGTAATGGAAACGCGCCTAGATTTATTGTAGTTGCGAATGAATCTGAACAGTTAGTCCTTTCAGCTCCAACCCCAATCACACACACCTGAACTAACATTAGGCCTGTCGCGATAATTAAATAACCTTCTAATCGCGATTATTTGATCAAACCGCTGTTGTTTCAGACAACCGCGATTATTGTGCTTTTTATAGAAACAGAAGAGCACCAGTTTGGTTTTCATGCACTGTATAACCTATATCATCTGAAGCCATTCCATATCTTAATGTGAGGGACAGAATTATATTTACATTGTTACATTTAAGTTTACGTAGACTACACCACTGCCCTCAGGTTGTTCCAGACCTGCATGGGTTTGTTTCTGTTGAACTCAGAAGAAGATATTTTGAAGAATGTTGGTAACCAAGCGGTTTCTGGTCCCCACTGACTTCCATAGCATTTTGTTAAGGGATGCATGATATTGGATTTTGGCCGATATCCGATATGCCGATATTTTTAAAATCATTTTGGCCGATAACTGATACCGATATATTTACTTTTGTTTGGAAAAAAACACTAAGTCTCTCCTGTGCAGAGATTATGAACAAATTATTATTATTTTTTAAATTTTGGTTAGTTTTTAAAAACTTACTTGTTAGGTTAAAAGAAAACAATAATGAAGCTCTTTTATAATGACAGTAGGAAAATAACTAAATCAACTATAAATCAATCACTGCATTTCTTTTTTCCTTGAGACCGATGCAGTTGTAACCTCAACATTTTATTTGAAGATTTAATATTTGTAGATGGTTTAACGCAAAAGAGATGTAAAAATACTGAAAATCTTTTAGAGCTCCTTGTATAGCGCTCGCAAAAGCGCCCCCTTTGCGGCCGCTATGCACCCTCGATGTGCACTTCTGCTGAGCAGACTTCTACCCGACAGTCAAAGCGGCATTACGTCACGAAAGCGTGGACTCGGAGGAAGACCGCGAGGGTTTAGGGTGCCATTTGGGACAGGGCCCTAGTGATTGTTGACTATCGCACACCGGACGCATCATTCTGTACTTGCATTCTCAGATTAAATGCGGTGATCCAAAACAGTGAATCTAATCAGGAAAAAGTTTGCTTCAAGAATGACCCACTGCTGACGTGATCTTATCGCTAGCACATGTGAGTTATTCATCTTATCGGTAAGGCATATCGGCATAATTTTTCATATCAGGCCGATGCCGGTATTTGCATTTTAAGCCCTTATCGGCCGATTCCAATAATGTTCCGATAATATCGTGCATTCCTAATTTATTTATTTTTTTGTCCGTGCTATGCAGCAGCAAACAGAATTTTCATTTTGGGTGAACTATATGCCATCCTGAAAACCAAATTTGAAATTAGAACCGTACACAAAATGCTGCCCGAAAAAGTAAAAAAAATTTTTTTTTTGATTTTTGTTTATGACTTTTTGCACCTTTAATAAACAATTGAAAAATGCACAAATTAATATAGAAAAATTTTGATTTTAACAAGTTTTCTTTGGCCAAATTAGAAGTAGGCTAATGCTTCTCTTGCACGTTCAGTTTAGAACTATATGTCTCTGCGCTAGATCATTGATGGGGAGCTGGGCAATTAATAGTAAATATGACCAAAACAGGGTATTATTATTATTCTTTTTATATGAATAATAAAATCACTATATATGTGCATTTCAAGTATTTGTGGGCGTATTATCGCGCTTACTATATGATATGGAGGCGCCCGCGCAATCTCTAGCATTTTTTTTTTTTTTCCTGTGGAAAGAACTTGGAATAGGCTACTCCGTCATTTTCGGATGTGCTTTCCTCATGCAGTCTCCGTGAATGGGCGCGCATCACAACAATGAACCGGCTCACAGACACAAGAAATACATTTATAGAAATCTTGAAATGTCTACTATTAAACAAACCAATTCAAATAATAAAAAATAAAAAAATCAGCAGCACAAAAATGTTTTACGGCACAAATGAAGTACAAACAAAGAAGATTATTTTGGGTAAATTTGGAGCATGTGGGGGGGCTGGTGACGTCATCGCATATAATTAAATGTCTAATATTTTAAAAACCAGAGCAGCACAAACGAAACTTTTACCTGCACAAACGAAGCACAAACAAACGAGACTATTTGGAGTGAATTTGGTGTATGTTGGGGGGCTGAGTGACCTCAGAATGACCTATAAATATTATTTCAATATCTAAAAAACCAAAGCAGCACAAACAAAATTTTTTAGAGCACAAACGATTAAGACTACTTTGCCGACGTTTTGTGTCGGGTGGGGGGCCAACTTCACGGAGGTTGCAAGTTCCATTGAGCTGTTGGTAACGTCGAAACTTGTGACCATGGTTGATTTTGGGAAACGTACCCCAGAACGGTGGCCATTACTGACAAGCCTTAAAGGGCTTTAAAAATACAACAACCCTTCTTTTTTAATGTTTTTCCTCATGGTTAAAAAAGGAAAAACGAATGGACGCAAAAGTATAGGCTACACGGACCTGGAAACAGTAGGCTATTGCATGTTTTATTTGTGCGCAGAAACGAAAATAGGCCTATGTATGTCAAGTCTTTATTATTTTTTTATTTTTTATTTTTTATTTTTGTTTGCTTTGTAAATACATAATGAAATAAGCCTAGTTTAGGGCTGTGCAATATATCGAAATTATAGAAATATCGCAAATGTACATATCGCAATATGCATATCGCTACAGCCTGCAATATTTGGGGCCATTAACAAAAGTCAAAGAGAAAATCACTCACTGCTCTGACCTAAATAACTTTTGTAGCTTAAATAAGAATCGGTGCATATTGAATTCAAAGAGGAAATACTAAGCAGTGTTTTATTTTTCCTTTTTATTATTCAGTTCCTAAACTCATGTTAAAATGATTACACTAATGTTAAAATTACATTTTTATGTAATGCTCGAGTAAAACACATACCGTTCACTTTCAGAAGTTGTTGTAGGGGTGCTTTCTTATTAGAATCAGAATCAGAATGAGCTTTATTCACCACTTAAGTGTGCGCAAACACAAGGAATTTGTTGTGGTTTTACAGGAACTCTTGGTACATACATACATACATACATACAGACAAATAACCATATATATATGACACAAGATAGTTATAGAAGTTCACAGAACTGACTCGGCAACAGCTGAGTAAAACTTTCATCTGAGCATGTGGCACTTTAAGCATTATCGTATCGCATATCGAATTATTTAACGAGTTATCGCATTTTTCTTCAATATCGCACAGCCCTAGCCTAGTTTTTGTTTTCGTTTAATTGGCCTAATTGAACGAATATGGCTACTAACAATTAAGTGACTGCGACTATTTAATGTGATTTGGTTTGCCGTTTGAATTTTACCTTATTACTTCAACTGTATTGTTACGTCAATTGGTGACGTCATCGCATATAATTAAATGTCTAATATTTTAAAAAGCGAAGCAGCCCAAACCTGCACAAACAAACGAGACTATTTGGGGTATGTATGTATGTTGGGGGGCTGAGTGACCTCAGAATGACCTATAAATATTATTTCAATATCTAAAAAACCAAAGCAGCACAAACGAAAATTTTTACAGCACAAACAGAGCACAAACGATTGAGACTATTTTGCAGACGTTTTGTGTTGGGTGGGGGGCCAGCTTCACGGAGGTGAACTTGCAGGGCTCTCACAGCGTAGTGTCACGCTGTCAATACTTTAATTCTTTTAGTATTAAATTCTTTCTTAGTAAGTCTTTGAAATTCTGTTAGTTTTAATAACACATACTAATATAACATATACTGTTGTCATAAAAGTAGTTAAATTAAAAACCTAAATTTAACCTCCAACAAGAAATATTTTATTAAAAATGAAGTTGAAGTTACTGCTCACTGTGTTTACTATGTTTTGAAAATGCCTTCTATGAGTAAAAGCGCTCCACACTTTCCTGTAATTGAATTGGCTCATGACAGGACGGTCGATCGCCCTCGCAGCCGCCCAGTGGTTAAATGTTGACCTTTGACCTCCCTCTGCCCTCACAGGCCGGATGAGCACTGGCTTCTGTCGACTCTGTCACGGGAAGTTTTCCACGCGGCGGCTGCGGCAGGCGTTTGCGCAGCTGCAGGGCGAGTCCTGCGCCGTGTACCCGCTCTTCTGCACAGACTTCCAGCAGCTCTTAGGAATTCCCATGAACAGAGACCCCAGTCTGTCCCAGTTCATCTGCAACAACTGCCACGCTCAGTTCTACAAGTGCCACAGCATCCTGCTGGACTTCAGGAACAGAGTCAACCTGACGCCCGTCTCCAGAGACAGGTGAGCGGCGCGCCACATCCTCATGACGCCGTCATATCTCACCCCAAAATCCACAGAGGTTATTTTCCACAACAGATCTGTCCTGTAATATACGAGTCAGTCATTGCAATGGAGTGCAGAATTTACATTTAAAGCCACTATCCAGCAGAGTTGAGCTCCAATCCAGTATAAACTCCATGATGTAAACAATAACGCAGAATTACTAGCTGGAAAAAAATACTACACATTTAATGGTCCTGAAAATACGCTACTTTTTTTTTCTTTTGATTATGGTGTGAAATATGAGCCGTACATGTTCATGTCATTCATTCAGCCATCACCCGTGAGACCATAGTTAAACAATCATGTTGTCTCCCACAGGAACAGCACCGAATGCTCGTCGTCACAGGAAGACATCACTTTATTCCGTAAGTACATGTTCGTAGGCGTGTGTTAGTTTTGGCTGTGTGTGCTTGTCTTATTTGTCTGGTCTTTGGTAGGGTCACACATCACATCAGATAGACGGTGTCTGCACGGTCTGGTGTCGTGGGCTCACAGTCACGCGGAGGGCTGCCATTCCTGCCCTGACCAGCAGGAGGTGCTGGAGGGCCAGTGTCGAGGGGCTCTGAAGGTGGTGTGGGGATGTGTGGACGGTCACACTTATGTGATGGACACCAACGGCACTCAGGCCAGATCAAACGCTGGACCGGAAACCACTAAAACTCAATGTGATGACAGAGCAAAAGCAAACAAAGATGACCACCAATCAGCATCGAGAACTAACAGCGTCCCCACGGTGAGATCAGGTGAAGCTGCTGCACCTCAGAATCACAGCAGTGATGCGGGCCGAACACAAGGTGAGGTGACAAGAAACACACAGCTTTCTGTTGAGTCGTCTTCATTAGCTGCAATTAAAAATCAAACATACAGCATATTCCATGTCATCTGGACAAAAAAAATTCAAATGAGCTGACTCATGAGCTGGTTACTGGTGTAAATCAGTCTGATGAATTTATTTTCTGTAATCATATGCACCAAGATTTGAATTATAATATATTTTTGTTTTTCTTGTTTTTGAAAAATAAATGTACTTTATTTCACCAAGGATGATTTAATTGATCAGGAATTATAATTACTGGTAAATTTACTAATGACGTTCTAACTTCACTTTAATTTATATAGCACTTCACACAATCTACTTTGTTTCTTCTCTTAAGAAACAGCGTGAACAGAGACATTGATAGTTTGCCAAGTTCACAAAATACCGGTAAACCCAGTGAACTAGAAATGACATTTCAACACGTTTTCTTCATCCACCTAGATGAGGAGAAGCAGTTTCAGTATCTTGTCTCATTTGACAACTTTGTATAACCATCAAGACAGGTTAACATCTTATATTTAGAGATTGTAAGTTCAATAATTAAGCGTTCCGTTTTATCAGAATTCAGTAGACGGACGTTGAAAGCCATCCACTCTATGATATTGTTAATACAATCTGTCAGCTTTGAAAATTTGTACGTATCATTGGCATAACAATGAAAACAACTTCCATGTTTCCTGATAAATTAAGGAGAAAAGCAGAGGACCTAACACTGAGCCTTGTGGCACACCATACTTAACATGTAATTGATATGACATTTCTACATTTATGTAAATTGTTACTGGTCATATAAATATGACCTAAACAATGCTTATGCCAAGCTGACAAATGCCAATGCAATTCTCCAGCCTATGCAAGAGAATGTTATGATCTGTGGTTTCAAAGGCAGCACTATGATCCAGTCGTTTGTAAACCTGCAGTCCTGTCAGTAAAGAGAAAGGAAAAATTGAAATCGCATCATATGACCCCTTTAAGATAAGGTTCTCACAGACCTTATGATTGAACTGGCAAGCAGCAGTGTGCAAAGAACACAACCTGCAGCTCAGTTTCAGGGTCTTGGCAATTTTCTTATAGCCTACGCTTATAGCCTATCTTTATGTAGAGCAACAATTATTTTTTTCAGATCCTCAGAGAGTTCTTTGCCATGAGGTGCCATGTTGAACTTCCAGTGACCAGTATGAGAGAGTGAGAGCGAAATTTTACACCAAATTTAACACACCTGCTCCCCATTCACACCTGAGACCCACATGAAAAGATATAATAAAATATTTACAAAAATGTGAGGGGTGTACTCACTTCTGTGAGATACTGTGTGTGTATATATATACAGTATATATATATATATATATATATGCAACTTTTCTCAGTATTTTCTGAGATTGCATTGCAGTATCTTCTACATGTAACGAGTGTGGTTCATATTTCAGACATGCAGTCCTGTGAGGAGCCGGCCACTTCAGTAGCACCACTGATGATGGACGGAGATGATGCGGACAGTGATCTCTCAGACAGGTACTTCATACACATTAAACTCCCAGATACCTATGAACAATGCAAAAAAAACCATAAGGTCTGTTAGTGAAGCAGAAGATGACATTCTGAGTCACATCAGTGTTTCATGTTTGTTCAGGAATGTGTTGAGTGATGAGGAGTGTGAGGAAAGGAGGAAGAGCGGCTCATCTGAAGACAGCTCAGATCTGAACACTGACAAGCGGTAAAATAAACATAAGCTCAGATTCTTCTAGAGTTCAGCCACCAAAGTAGCTCCATAACCAGGTGGATGAGGAGATACCCCCTGACAATGTAAAGCGCTTTGAGTGCCTAGAAAAGCGCTATATAAATGTAATGAATAACCCACAAATGAAGATCTAAAATGGACTGAACTTAAGAAGCGTGCAGGATCATGATACCAGAATTAACTTGTGTGCACAGGATAGGTCTTATGTATTCATGTGCATATGATTTTCAGTTTCTGAAGAAAGTCAGCAGATTTATCAGGAAATATTCAAAGATCTCACATTCTTTCAGTTGTCTCAGTTCTTCAAAGAAGAAAGAGGCTAAGACACTGGAACCCAAAACCAGGAGGAAACCTGGACCCAAGCCTGGCTGGAAGAACAACATCAAGGCAGAGCGGTGAATTGACCTTTAATATAATTTTCATACCACAGTCTGTCTGAATACTCAATTCTGATTGGTTGGAGGGTGTGCATTAAAACCGTTTAATGCACAGCTAGTTCCAAGTCGGTTTAATCACCGCTCTTATTAATGCGCTGCTTTCATTGACACACACACATGCATCACTCTCACACAGAGATCGTGCTGTGCACACAGAAACATTCAGGAGCACAGAAACGTCTTGTCAACGCTGCCCCAACTTTTATTAATAAAATAGCTTAGATGCTGATTCGCTATATTATGCTTCTCAGCAACAAGGAGGTAAAATCACTGTTTTTGAAGTAACTAAACACAGCTACACTGTTTGTAGAGAGAGACGCACAGATGCAGGTAGTTTACAAATGCAACTTTCGCCTCTTTCTCGAATTGATAATTAATTCAAATAACTGCTATAATTCATTCAAATAAATGTGATCTTGCTGCACTACTTCATCTGTGCCCGATTTCAAGAGGGCAGAAAGCTAGCTCTAACAAGCCATAACTGACGGCAATAACCACCATTTTAACCCTTCAAATACTGTGCTGCAAACATCAAAGGGGACATCGGATGCAAAATTCAGTTTTACATGGTGTTTGCATATAATGTGTCTTAGCGGTGTGTGGACACAACCACTCTACAATGATAAAAGTCCATTCACTTTTTTTTGTCTCAAAAACCCCGCCCACAACCGCTGATGGACTGTCCCGTATAAGCATTTTTCCACCCTCAGCCAGTTCTCCGCGCTTGAGCAGCTGTAGCTACATGTCTCATAAGCAAAGCAGGTGTTGTCTAGTTGTAAAAGTGAACATAAGGCCAGTTTCACACCGCAAGCGTGAGCGGCGTATATTTTTTTGGCATGCATGTTAACAAATGAGTGCATTCACTCCAGGAGCAAGCACTGAAGCGATGGTTTCGGAGTCTATTTTTGCTGCGCTTTTGCTCACACAAACTTTCAAGACTTTAAAGTTTATAAATGACCATCTTTTAAAAACAAATTTATAGTTATGTAGCTTTTGAGGCACAGCTGTGACGCTGTACAAATGCTTCCAGTGTCTCGTGAGTCTGCAGCTGCAGTGACGATGAAGTTACGCCGAGGTCAAACTCAAGCTTGCCGTGTGAAACAGGCATTTTCTCCCGACACCAGAGCCACTGAGGACGCAGTGGTTTAGTTTTGTTTTGATGGTAACGCTCCACAGAATACACAAAAAACGGAGCTCATTTAAAGAGACATTGACAAGGTAAAAAGGGTGTTGTTTTACACGACCATTGAGGAATTTTAACCAAAGTATGTGGCAGACATTTCATGAAGACCCTAAAGAATCACACCAACCTGTGGAAAATGGGCATGCGATGTCCCCTTTAACAGCTCTAACTTGTCAATGCTGGCAAATGACCGTAGTATAGGCAGGATAACACACGGCCAGCTGTGCATTAAAGATTTTCTCCACTTTGTGTCGTGTACTTCTTATCCTCCACGTCATGCGTTAAAATCATTTCATGCACACCCAACCATGGAACGTACTATTACACAACTCTCATTCTCTACAGATTCACACTATTAAGTTGTTAAAAATGCTTTTGTCATCAGAAGAGCACTTTTAAACAGAAGTCGAATGATTCACATGAACCAAATGTCAAACAAGCGTGAAGATCTCATATTCAGTGATTCTGTTGATCTGATTGTGTGTCCTGTAGAGAGGAGCTGCCCACCATCTACAAATGTCCTCACCAGGGCTGTACAGCCGTCTACAGAGGAGCCGACGGCATGAAGGTGCTGATCACCATCTCAAACACACACACGTCGACTGATATTATGATGTGATCTCACTGAATGTGTCCCACCTCAGAAACACATCAAGGAGCATCACGAGGAGGTGCGGGAGAGGCCGTGTCCACATCCAGGCTGCAACAAGGTCTTCATGATCGACAGATACCTGCAGAGACACGTCAAACTCATCCACACGGGTAACACAGGCTGCTGCAGAAATGAGTTCTTTACACAACAGCCATGTTCATAAAGTTAGTCATTGCTCAGTGAGGGAACAACAGTGTATTTTAACCTTCTTTAGGTTCCCCTCGTAATTCTAACAGCAATTAAGCATCTGCTTACTGAAGTTTCTACTCTTAGATGCCATTGGAATTATTCATATTGTAAAGTTTTTCAACCTAAAAACCCTGGACACATTTCAATCAATTGAATTCATAGAACTTAAATTATTAAATTGTTCAAGAATAAATATTTTTTTTAATAATAGGCCCTACATTCACACGATTGGACGTGTACGGGCCTACTTTTGATTTACATTTAGTCATTTTGCAGACGCTTTTATCCAAAGCGACTTACAGTTGGGGAATACATAAAGCGATTCTTCTTAAAGAGGCAAACAGACAGGAAGTGCTTGTAATACCAAGTTTTAGGCATTGTTCAAATAAGTACAAGCTAGAAAGGGAAGGAATAAATAAAGAGAAAGACAAAGTTTTTTTTTTTTTTTTTTTTAAATTTAAGATGAAGTCAAGTAGCGTTGAAAGAGATGAGTTTTCAGCTGTCGCTTGAAAATTGTCAGGCATTCAGCATTCCGGATAGGGGTGGGAAGATCATTCCACCAGCCAGGAATGGTGAACGAGAATGTTCTGCAAAGTGATTTTGAGCTTCTCTGTGATGGTACCACGAGGCGTCGCTCACTAGCGGATCTCAGACTTCTGGAGGGGATGTAGATTCGTAGTAGTAAGTGGAAGAAGGCGGGTGCTGAGCCTGTGGCTGTTCTATATGCAAGCATCAATGTCTTGAACTTGATGCGAGCCGCAACCGGTAGCCAGTGCAAGGTAGTGAGAAATGAGTAGGTGAGGGAAGAGAGGAGGATACTACAGAGGAAAGATGGGAGGGTGAAAGGGAGCGTAGGTTTTGTCTAAAAGTAACTGGTATAGGGGTTGGTGGCACACAGGTAACAAAATGTAGTTGGGCTAAGCCGGGGCTTTCGCACCCGCGGTGTGTGACGCTGTTTCGTTGTGAAAGCGAAACTACTTAGCTTGGCCTTCCAAGCAGCACAATGTGTGCAGCACATTTTATGGAGGATTGTTTCCTGGAAGAGTAGACAACAATGCCGGCTGTTCTGACTGAAAGTCTGTAAGTACGTCTTTTATATTTAAAGAGTTTTTATATTGTATATATTTAAAGCGAGTTTTTTGGGCAGTGTAGAGTAGTGCTTGTTGTTTGTCATTTCTCCGATCACAAATGCAGACATGGTTTTATGTTTACGTGGCGCGATGCAACGCAACGCGTAAAAAGACAGTATAAATCACTATAATCCATAATTATGTCCCCACTCGATGCAACAAATGCCTCGTTTATAATGGGTTCTACTGGTTTTGTCTTGTCGCGCCGGGACACGGCATCACAGTATGGTAAGGGGCGTAACATTTCCGTCACACGCTTAAGGTATTCGGCCAATCATAACGCAGTGGATAGCTGGCCAATCACAGCACACCTCGCTTTTTCAGACCGATGAGCTTTGTAAAAATCGACGCGTTTCAGAAAGGCGGGGCATAGAGGAGAAACAATAATGTACAGTATGTGGAAAATAATGTGTTTTTTGAACCTTAAACCGCATAAACACATTTCATTACACCAAATACACAAAATAATGTTCTTTTTAGCAGACCACGCAATATGCACAGTGAAATGGAGTATAAGAGCATTCACTTATCTTAGATGTTGATGTCAGATGCTTTCTGAAGCGAGCTGCAACTGCTACAGCAAGCAAGGACAGCAGCCCATCCAGCTCCTCTAGGAAGGTGCCTAGAATATGCCCAGGCAGGCGGTAAATTACCACAACCTGGAGTTGTATAGGAGCTGTTACAGTAACCGCATGAGATTCAAATGAGTTATAATTGCATAGGGGAGAGTGGGTTGAGTATTTCCAACTGTTAGAAATGAGCAGACCAGTGCCCCCACCACTCCCAACCTGACGGGGGGTGTGAGAGAAAGAGAAGTTGTTAGATAGAGCAGCTGGGGTTGCTGAGTCTTCTGGACGAATCCAGGTCTCAGTCAAGCCCCAAGATGCTGAGTGTGAATTGTAAAGAAACAATCAGAAATGAAGTCTGCTTTGTTGACAGCTGACTGACAATTCCAGAGACCCACAGAGAAAGAAAGAGGTGCAGTAGAAGATGTAGAGATAGGATGCAGGTTAGCAAGATTGCGTTGCCATCTGCGTGTGACGTTAGAGCGTTGTCGAGAGACAACCGGAATGTTTTGAAAACACATGAGAGAGGACAGAAAAGGAGTGTGTAAAGGGAAGATAAAAATTATACTTAAGTGCGTTGCCGGTTTCGTTAGTCTTCACACGAGGAGGGCTGAACGCTTCCGCGTCAGCGCACAGACATCAAATAAATACACGGTCTAAGACACTAAAGTGAAAACAGCTGTGGCCGCCTTCTAATTAGCACAGCCAATAGCCTATAGCAGGGCAATTGCTCAAATCGAAACTACAGTTCGCACTTCAGTGAGGGAAGGGTGCAATGCAAATAACACAGGCTCCTTCTTAGCTGAGGGCAATTATTATAATTACCAGTAAGTGCAATCAAAACTACAAACTCCCAACGAAAATATAATTTTTTGTTTGTGGATTTATTCATCCACAAACTGCCAAAATCTTTGACAGTCCAGAAATCATAGGGCCCTAAAATAGTTTCGTGGACCCCACTTTGAGCCATCTAACACCACAAAACTTCCCAGAATTCCCCATTTATTGATAATACTTACTGATGTTTGCATTTGTGATTTCTGACCACATATCATCACTTCCTGGAGCTTAATATCATTAAAGCTGCACTACAGATCATCGCCAAAGAAACTATGATCTCCAGCTCTAAAAATACATGAAGCTGTGTATGATTATGACTGCTGTGATGTAAAGAGTCAGTGTTTCTCTGTTCCCAGAGGTGAGGAACTACATCTGTGACCAGTGCGGCCAGACATTCAAGCAGAGGAAGCATCTGTCTGTGCATCAGATGCGTCACTCCGGAGCCAAACCGCTGCAGTGAGTATGAGCCCAGCCGCTCGGTGCAGTCTCAGAGCTTCGCCCTCACTGTGTCTGTGTGCGTTTCAGGTGCGAGGTGTGCGGTTTCCAGTGCCGCCAGCGGGCCTCTCTCAAGTATCACATGACCAAGCACAAGGCGGAGGCGGACCTGGAGTTTGCCTGTGTGATCTGCAGCAAACGCTTCGAGAAGGCGCACAATCTGAACGTGCACATGTCTATGGTGCATCCTCTCCTGCAGGGCGCCGGTGCTTCTGTTCCTCCAGACTCATCCGCCAGCAGCCCGTCAGCAGCTCAACACGCCGACTTCAGATCCCAGCAGACGAGGGCAGACGCGCACCCATCCGACCTCAGCTACGTGCTGGATAGTCTTCAGTCCAAACTCACCGACAGCACCGTATAGACCAGCGGCTCTCAAAGCTCAGATCCCGAATCTGACGCTCCCACTTCAGCTGCTGGAGTCTCACTGAGGAACGCTGGAATAGAGCTGAGAATGATCTAGAGCTCGTCACGTCTGTGTTACAGCAGTCCCATCAGCACCTGCTCAGAGCTCTCTTCCAAAGGCTAGCGAGCCTTTGTTAGAGTGTTTTAAACACTCACAGGTCACAGAACGCTACGGCTAGAGTAATATTTTATCCTCACAAGCTGCATGAAAAAACAGGGAAGTTATAGAGAAGGTTTAGAGCTGACAAACCAAATATGTCCAGCCCAGTTTAGCCATGAAACGCTGAAATCTGGAGTTTGATCCAACGTTTCTGAACAGCCAATCACACGAAACACACAGAGCAATGGTTTCAGTTCACTCTCACGAGAGAGTCGGCGCAATTCACTCTGCTGTAAGAGATTGTTACGAAAATTTCATGAATTTAAACGTTTAAAAGGCGGGAAAAAAACACTGATCTTGCCTCAAAAGTTGGAGAAGGCAGCAGAAAGAAAACATCTGACTATATGAAAGCAGTCAATCATTTCTAGTTCTCAAAGAGCTTAAAAAGAAAACACAAGCTTAGCCATTTTACAAGCTTTATATATTCTAAAGTTTTATTCATATGTACATATTTAAAAGTTAAAAATATATTTCCTTGTTTAATGCAATAAAGATATAAAATTCGTATAAGTAGTAGTGTAATTATTAGCAAAAGTGATTTTCTCATTGATCTGCTTTAATTTGGAGCAAGAATCAGTCTTTAAAAGTCTTAAATGTAGTCAAATTGAAGACCATAACAATCTTAAAAGGTACAAGAAAGTCTTTTGATTTCAGGAGGTCTTAAATTTGGGGACTAAAAAACAGAATTGTGATATGGCTGAATGTGAGGATTAAACTTCAGAAGACTGATTTCATTGAATAAACATAAGCGCTGCTTGTTTCATATTCAGCTGCTGCAGCTGGTTACCGTGGAAACCACGATATTTCTGCTGTCCCGAAAGCTCCTCCTGCTGGCAGAGAATGAAAGTGCATTTTTCAATAAGCCTGTCTGCTGTTTTTATTCAGACCAAAGTGAAAATCGACCCGTTTTTACGCTGCAAACACGCAGAGATGTAAATGTGACCCGGTGGATCGACAAGAAGATTATAAATGCATTATAAAAATCTAAACAACTAAGACAGTAAAATATATTTATATTATTTGATTAATATAATAATTGATTGATAATAATTGTTTAAATTAATATTATTGATAGTTTTGACTCATCCATTTTCTTAAAAATGTAAGGTTTATCATTTTATAAATCATTTTGTTTTCGTGAAAACCTGTATCTGAACTGTAAATCATGCTTTTACAGTCATTTTACAGTTTAATATTGTACTGCAGACATTGCCCTACCCTGCTTATATGGTAATAAAAATCGTAAAAATCGCGCAGAGACCCTGAGAGATGCAGGGCGTCTGATGGCCGTCACTTGACTCGCAGCTGATTGGTCTGGTGTTTGGTTTGCTCACTAGAGTTTGGAACGACGCTTATGACAGACTCTGCAAGTTTTTATATGAAAGCAGTCAGAGGTGTTGCATCATGTTTTATTTTCATGCTCAGTTCCTTTGAATACATGAAGAAGTCTGTTCACTGATCACGTGATGAGAGGCAGCACAGATGACTGTTGTTCTGATGGCGTCTCATGTGAAGGGTGCGTTTCTGAAGCTGCCGAGCGCCGCTGAGATCTCTGAATCCAGCTGCTCGTATTCAGACTGCAGCTACAGGAAACACAGACATCACAGGAACTCAAGACTCACTCGGTCACATTCACTGGCAGCTAATAACGGCACTGATTAATCATTTAATCATCATAAACACGTCCGTTCTGATGAAATGATGTTGGTGTTTTAATGTGTATATAATAAATACATCTAATTTTGCGTGTTCAAAGCTCTCCAATGTTGCATTTCTAGCTGATTGTTTACTGGCTCGATACAAAAGAGCTCAAGCCCCTATTGCTGGGTTTCCCTGGTTTTCCCAAAAAGGAAAAGGCATTCTCTTTAGTGACATTATTAGAAATGGGCTTAAAAACACATTTTAGCATATGATCTTCTGGTCTCTTTTCTGCCGTTTCATGGTCCAGCAGGTAAAAATGGTGCATGTGATCATTTAGTCACATGATTTGAGGAATCATTCATGTATGGAGCACAAATGCAGATTTGCTGCTGCACACGACTTTAACACTTTGTGTTGGAACATGTCCTGTTGTGTGTGTGTGTGTGTGTGTGTGCGAGAGTGTGTGTGTGTGTGTGCGAGAGTGAGTGTGTGTGTGTGTGTGTGTGTGTGTGTGAGAGAGTGAGTGAGTGTGTG